CTCAACATCTGGCTCCGATACCGGGACCCTGCCGTCATTGCGGACTGCCTTATCTGCACGAGCGAGGAGGTGGTAGCGGCTCTCACTATCAGGCCGCTACCAGACAGCCTGGACGAGGCATTGTTCACGCTCTTGGAGCAGGCATCCCGGGAAGGCCAAGACCCTGATCCTGAACGCTTTGTCCGAGAGTTGGCCGACGCCTTATTCACTCATCCTTTGGAAGGGATTGACGGTCTCGCCGAGCTACGCGATCACGTCGAAGATATCGATGGTGAGGGTCTCAGAACATATGTTGCTCAATGGATTCACAGTCTGGGTGCTGGTCACGGAAAAAGGCTCCTCGACCAGGACGCTGTGGCGATCATCGAGAATTATATCCCCCCTATGGTGTCTAGTGTCGTCCTACAGAATGCATTCATCAAGGGACTCCCTAGCGCTCCGAGACTGACCAAAGATTACCGTTGGGAGCAGCTATCGGCGAAGAGGGAACTCAAATCGTTGTGTCAAAGTCCCTTTTCAAAGGGTTGGTGGAATCGGTCACTCCAAGGTCACCAAGCTGCCTCCGTCTTCCGCAGCCCCGTCTCTGAAATCAGTCAGGCTACTCCAAGGCGCGAAGTGAGAATGTCTGAAGGAAATGGATCACCTACAAAAACCTCGGTCGAGACTAGTGACCCTCCGGACTTGGTCAGCCAACAACGGCGTCACACCGCTGCCAAGAACGCGGATATGGCGGCAACAGCATTTGACGGTGGTTCATTCAAGGGTGTCGCTGATAAGAGGGGATTCTCCGGCTTCTGGCGGCAGCTCGAGGGCAAGCTTCTTCGACGAGGGTGGGACCACGGGAGCCCCGAGCATTTCTACATGCTCACCAGTCTCCTCCCAGAGCATATCGTCAGTAAAACGGTGGGAAGAACCGTCCCAAAAACACTGTCGGCCTTCCAAGCTACCGTTGAAGACCTCCGTACGGCCCTTTGACGTGAATATGGTGGTTTCATCGAGGTGGAGGAACTTCTCACTGAGACACTCACTCGAGGGGCCAATGAGAGCCTCACTGACTTCCTCGCTCGCATTGACAACTGGGAAGATCGTTGCTCGACAGCTGGGTCGCCAGTGCCAGACGCCACTCTCATCCAAGTCTATCGGTCGGGAGTGTCCCACGGCCCTTCGAGGGAGGCCAGTTATGAGTACCCTTGTCGTTGGATGGACTTCCGACTCCGTGCGCTGACAAGAGCGGCAAGGGTAGATGGCGAGAAGTGTCAGAAGCCCGACACTTCATCTCAGGAGCAACCTAAATCCAAGACTGCCCCAACGCCTCCCTCTAGTCAAAGGCCAACCAACGACAAGAAAGGAGAAGTCTGCCGAAATAATCTCCGAGGGCGATGTCTGAAGGGTGACAAGTGCCCTTATAAGCACATTGACCGTGAAGCATGTCGAATGTGGGAAGAGAAGGGGCAGTGTCGGTTCAGCGAGTCCTGTAAGTTCAAGCACAGCAAGCCTTCACCGCGAGCGGGGGCCAGCACCGGCGAGAAGCCATCTGCTGGCGGGCGTCAGCGTGATCAGTTGAAGACCATTTCCAGCGATGGGGACTCGGGTCAGCACGACGTCGACATCGCAGAGGAAGAGATCCAGCGAATCTGGGCCATGACCGAGCACGTCGAGGACATTGGATCCAATCATCGGCCGAGCGGTCCACTCCTCACTTTACGCTCCCCCGACGACTCTCTTCCACTACGTGTGCTTCTAGACAGTGGCGCCGTGCGGAACTACATCACCGTAGAGGAGGTGAAGTCTCGGGGGTGGCATATACTTCCCGAAGTGGCGATGGCTCGGCTCGCCGACAACAGCAAAATCCAACTTCAAGGGAAAATCCAGGTGGTGGTGTCTATTGGTGGTGGTACGCTCCAGATGACCTTCTATATTCTTCCTCGGAGGAACGGTGGTTCTTCGACTTCCATCGGCATCTTAGGGGTTCGCTCGATGTGCGACCTGGGTGTCTCCTTACAGTTTAGCGAAGTGGCAGGAGAGCGGCATGTCGTCGTTAAACAGGTTTCACGAGGTCAACTTTCATCAACTATGAGAGACGAGAGCCTCTCCTCCGGCAAAGCCACTACTACCACTACTCCTAACACAACTCCTACCAACGACTGTGATTTTCCGGACAGTCGACAGGTACGGGTTCTCGGCGAGTCCTTGACGGTTACTTCCAGTTGCGATGACGACGAGGAGGCCCTCTATTGCGTTGCCACTGACGACTCATCAGCATTCCCCTCTGACGCGGACGGTGGTGATTGGTCAACCACCAGCTCATCTGGGGAGAAAAATCATCTCGGTCCCAACTGGCGGTCAGTCAGAGCGGCACCTGACTACTCGGTAAGGCTCCGCCGTTTGGAAGACGGTGAGGCATGAGACTGTGAGGAACAGACCCACGCAGTGGAGGTGACATGGGCCCTTGCAC